CACAAAATGTGTGTTCTTGAAAACATGGAAGGAGATAGTAATTATTTGCCTTGGTGAAGAAAAAGAGATAGACATGAAAATAATTCAAGAGAAGCAATGATATTTTACTCTTACTCTTATGTTTCGTGCCAATCTATAAAAAGAAATCTACTTTGAAATGGATGTATTGTACTCCAAAGACAGATTGGATTGGCCATGTGAAAAATTGTACATTAAAATAGATTTTCAATGAACCATTAGATTATAGTGTTAAGATATTTTCTAGAAACTATAAGCATAAATATTTTGTCATAAGATGTTAATTTCAACCTTGAAACAGATACTTCATCCTGTTCAGCCTAAGAACTTTTACATCAAGATGTTGCCACATATTGTGAATGGTAGTAGCATCAAGAGGCTTCTTCGCCAAAAAACGAGCACCAAGTTCAATAGATCTCTTCATTGTGTACATTGTTGTATCTACTGACATCACTGCTTTAAAACAAATAAGACTTATCAACGTCACATAAAAGAAGATGCGTGTGCATGCAGTTGGAGACAATTATTAGTGAACATACTGATCACTTGAAGGTTTCGATGCATATCTTTGGCTGCTTCCAGGAACTGAAAGCCATTCAACTCTTCCATGTCCACCGCTGCTATGACAAAATCAACATCATGTGCTTTCTTTTCAAGAATACCGAGCGCTTCTATGGGACTTGTATAGACTGCCACTGGAAAACAAGATCAACTTCACTATCCGAATGTAATGACATCTCAAAACATGAGAAGAAATGGTTTCCATGAAACATTGAAAATGTATATTTTCATAAATATGAAGATAGTTCCTCTTTCACGCGATGTAGAAAACCTTACCATAATAGTTCAATTCAGAGAGAATGGATTTTGCAGAGTTGGCATGGAACTCATCTTCATCAATGACCATCACGCTGAGCGCATCTGAGGGCCTTCCTTCTGCTCTTTCTGCCATGGGGATTCTCAAACCTAGAGCTCTATTTGCTTCTATTTTCTGTATGCGTGAATGTGGCAATTGGGCATTGGTGGCTATTTATAGCTCAACAACGTTTCTTCTATTTCACACAGTCATGTTTATATAATATAAAAAATTAATACATTACTATTAAAAAATGCAAAAGAGCTAATAGCACAAAGAGGGCAGGTGTGGTCCATGCATCCTATAAGGTGACACACATGGTGGGATAGAATCTGACACAACAATAAATGAATCACCCCCCCTCTCCCAAAAAAAGAGTTATCACCAAATGTAGATTGTTCAATAACCACGAAAGTACTAGCTACATAATGTGTTTCAAATATATACAAACCAAGCACACATATATGTACGGAAATGATATGTTTCACCTAAAGTAGTGGAGAAAATCTATGTGTACACTTGTATTTATATTTGTTTATAGAAGGCATCGAATTCCAAAACGACAAAGCGTAATGACATAACACATCGCATGGATGCGACGACAACGTAAAAACAAAATCACAATTATAACACCATTTTTCGGAGGAGCTGCATTCAGCGGCAATTCTACATGTAAGTTATGGGTTCAGCTATCCGCAAAACTTTTTTGTATTGCAAGATTATTCTATTTGTATTTGTGCAAAAAAGGATGTTTCAAAGTGATCAGTGCACTTGAAACCACAACTCTTTGGTGCTGTCGCAGTCACTGGCGGCACAAATCAAAATGACAAAGTGATGTCGCATGGATGTGAACACAATGTAGTGGCGAGATCAAAGTTATAATCACATTCTCCTAACGAGTTGCAATATTGTTGAAACAATGGACTTAGAGTCAGTGTTCAGTGTGACCCTCAAATTTTAGAATTAAAGAACATTACTTTCAGAGGTGATTTCCTACGTGAGGTCCATAAGTCTGCACTAGAAACAAAGTTTCAAACATAATAGAGTACTCTACTTTAAGTACTAGTTGATCATGGCCAAGGAGTCTAACATGGTCTCCAAAATTGTGAATAGTGAAATTTGGGATGGCTGGAAACTAGAATGGGTACACAATGGGCGGTGCCGTTTGGATGGTCTGATGTCACTGGTCAGTAGATATCCAATATGGGTGGCCAAAAGTTAGAATGGATCCAAAGTGGGTTGCATCCTTTGGACGATCAGATGTCACCGTTCAGCAGATATCGGCTATGGCTAGTCAAAAGTTAGAATGGCGACAATGTGGGCTGCACCCTTTGGATGGTCTGATGTCACCGGTCAGCAGATATCTGGTATGGGTGGTTAGAAGTTAGAATGGATACAAAATGGGCTGCACTCTTTAGATGTTCGTGACATCAGTCTCACTACATTAACTATTGTGTATATGTTCTCACACCCCTCAACCACTAATGGATCTCAAATAAATGAACCTAGCTCTTGTTTTTAACCAAATCAGGTTGTGTAGATTCATGGTTTCACATTTACACATGGTTGTCTTTTTATGACATGTGTCCAGTCATATTTCTCCATGCACGAACAAGTGAATGTTTGTCACACTGGCTTTTGGTGTATATGCATACCACCTTCTTTTTAGAAAAAAGGCCGAGGCCCGGCATTAAATCAATGACGCCCTTACAGACCGATATGCCACGAAAGCAACACAAAACAGAAAAAGAACAGAGCAACACAACAACTCAAGATACAAGACACACAAGAAACAACTAATCCGCCGCCGCCGCGAACGTGCCGAAGAGGAGGGAAACCATGGAGGGTGATCCAACACCGGAGGAAGCCCATTTGTCGTCAAGACCCTGAGAACACACACGGCCGGCACGCCCTCTAGTTCTGCCTCCGAAGAGGGCACACCCTGCCCTCTTGCCCTAGCTCGTAGGGCGCCGCGCCGTTGGAAGGCGGAGATGCTCTACCCGAGCACGTGTGGACATGGCACATCCGGTGGCCTAAAGGGACGAAGACAGGAATGAGTGCCTCACCTCGCAGAGCCACCACACGCAGGCAGCACTCGCCGCTGGCACAAATTGCAGCATAAGACCCAGGTTATCGAACTAGAGGCAAAGAAGAGGCCGGGAAAAAAATGCATCCACCCCTGCCACTAGAGTGTTGCCCCATGAAGAACACCGGCCGCCATGGCGGCCAAACTTCAGTGCAAGAGCCGAGCCTGCCACCCCGCTGTCCAAAGGTGGCGCCTTAAAGAAGGTGACGACGCCG